GGGTTCTATTCCCAGAATCCCATATGGTCCCCCAAGCACCGCCAGGAGTAATTCCTGAGTGCATGAGCCAGGAGTAACCCCTGAGCATCGCTGGGTGTGACCCAAAAAGAAAAAAAAAATATACATATATATATATATATATATATATATCAAATGAGATCTTTAAAAAACTAGTTATGGGTATCAGGAAGTCAAAACGGAAATTAGAAAGTATTTTCAACAATCACAGTTTGAAAACAAGCACATAAAAATGTGGGAAATATGGCTAAAACTTAACTTGAAGGGACACTTAAAGCACTAAATGCCGATAGTAAGAAAGAAAAAATGTAAAGTTTCTTCTTTTAGAAACTGGGAGTTTAAAATAAAAAAGAAAATAAGCAATAGCATTGTTACAGTATCAATTAAGATCAATTAAGTAAGATAGTCAATAAAAATATTTAAGAAAATAACATCAGTAAAATTCTAACTAGAGCAACCAATGAAGAAGAGAAAAAAAAACACAAATTACCAAAATTACCACATAGACTATAGAGATAAGGATAAAAGGTAAATAATATAAATTTTGTGCTCACAAGTTCAACAATTTAAATGAGAAAACTCCTTATAAAAGGAAAACTACAAACGTCTGTTAGAACTAAAGAGATAGTGCAGCTTTGCACGCAGCCTACCCAAGTTTCAGTCACACCTCATACAGTACCCAGAGCACTGTCAGTAGTGATCCTTGAGGACAGAGGCAGGCGTAAGTCATGAGCACTGCCACTTATGACCCCCAAACTAGAGATTATAAATAAATAATGAAAGTCACTTAAATAGATTTCAGTTAAGAGTTGGAGAGATTAGTACAGGGGTTAAAACTCATAAGTCTCGCATGCAACCAACTCAATTCCAACTTTATTCAAAGTCTGGATTATGCCAAAGTCCCTTCCTTATAGGGTGTGAAATTTTATTCTAGGAGGCAGTGAAAATAGTGACAGATGAACCATTTCCATATTAGGCTTGATTTTATATTTTTTTTGTTGGAGCAGGACTAATTTTCCATGGTTACTACTTGAGGGTTTAGTATTTTCTCCTAAAGTGAGGTTGGATATAGGGGACTGCATGATTTCTGACATCTTCAACTAACTCTTGGTTCCATGGCAGGTGACCTCTGTTAGGTCTCACAAACTCTTGTGTTAGGTGTGCACAGCCAGGCCTCACTTGAAAACCTACAGTAAATAGACTTAAATAATCTTCCCATTGCATGCTGTACTTTTTTTTTTCAGTATTCTGCCCCATTAATCAGTAACTTCAGCATCTCAGATGCTAATTTCTGTTAACTCAGCTCAGAAAGACTACTAACTTCTCCTGAATTCCATTTCCCTTTATTGCTGCAAGAAAGTGACATAAGAAGCAGGAATATGTGTAAACCATACCTCTTATACAATTCATATTAAATTCTTGTGCACAGTCATATTCCTGAAAAGAAATGCCATTTATATTTTGACCAACCGTATTACTGTTTATAATAGAAGAACAAGCTCAATGCCACTTACTCTCTTATAGTTGCAGAAAGAAACCTTAAAGTGTGTCACTGCTATGAATTACCATTTAAAATAAGTCTTTCCAATGGTTTATTTCTAAAGGTATTCATTCTTTTATTCATTTAAAATTTTTATTTAGACATTGTGCTTTTCAGAATTGTTTACAATAGGGTTTTGAACATCTAATAGGAATTTTTGTCAAGGAAAAAGCAAGAATCCTCCAAAAATTAATGAGAAGAAAGGAAACATTGTCTATAAAAGGTATTTTTTATAGATCTATATGTCATTTTGTTTTTTTCTTGTGATAGCATTTCTAACAGAGTATAGGCTCTTTATTATCAGGGGTGTTATGTTACATAGTTAGGGGGCTTAAGGTATTATTTGTCTATTTTACCTATTTTTAAATAAGTTATGAAACATGTAAGTGAAGGACCCAATAGGGTTATGCGTGAGTGATTTCATTATGAACACTCAAAAATTAAATAGTCAAAGTATTTGAATTTTCTTAAAGCCATGAAATATTTGTCTAATATTACTCTTTCAGTAATAAAAATGACTGTCAACAGAACTGTCCTATTTGTGAAGCTACTACTAAAGAAAATCACCTATTATTATAGTTTGGTTTGAAAACTAAACTAGGCCTTTCTTGAAAAGAGAACAAAATGAACAACAAAAACAAACTCTCTCCCAAGTTAAGTATCTTGCGTAATGCTACATATAAAAATCTAGGCAACTTGCTGAAAAGATGTTATGGGGAGAAGAAATCTCATTTTTCCTTGTAAAGCTAAAATTTTTATTAAAAACATTAGGAAGTATTCATAATATGCAAATAAGTACATTGTGGTACCTAGTATATGTTATCTGTCTCAAAGAGTTTCAAATGGAGGGTGCAAAATACTCACCAAATGAATACAAACCTCAGAGAAAAAATAATTTAGCATTAAGCAAGAATTTAAATAAAAAAAGAATTTAAAGATTACAAAGGTGCAGTATCTACGATACAAAGTTCATGAATAAAGGGGAATGATTCATGTGGATTTTGATATTCGGTGTAAACTTAAAAGAAACATATATAACCAATTTCCCCTTCATATGTCTTTAAAAAAAAAGTGAGAACATAGTGTACAGCCTCTGGATTACAGCCTCAAGATTAATCCTGGCCTATCACAGAACTGGAACAAAGCTTGAAACCTTGAAACCGGTGCTTAAGGGTTTTTCATAAAATATTTGTCAACTGTATAGAGGAGGGTGGAAATAAATAGTCTGGATTAGAGACTTTCTAATTAATTCAGTAACCTTCCAGAAATAACATCCTTTGGCTCTGTTATTTAATACCTCCCACCCTTGAAAAATGTATTCACTGATCACATAAATTGATATAAAGACTAATCACCCTAGTTTGATGGTCATAGTAATACAGAATAAATTCAATAATATAAATATTCTAGGTTTTCTCTAAATACTCTGTCACTGTCACTGTCCTCTGTTGTTCATTGATTTGCTCCAGCGGGCCCAGTAACATCTCCACTGGAGACTTTGTTGCTACTGTGTTTGGCAGGAGCGATAGCACAGCGGTAGGGGGTTTGCCTTGCACGCAGCCAACATGGCCAACCCGAGTTCAATTCCTCTGCCCCTCTCGCAGAGCCTGACAACCTACCGAGAGTATCTAAATACTCAATATAGATTAAATGTGTGGGGGGGGGTGGAGGAGGGGAGAGCTAATTCTACCAATTTTCCCTATTGTTGAACTCACTGCACCTCTGGAGTAGACATTACACTAAAAGTAGCATCTTAGACTTTATGTATGAAAATTTTCAGCAGAACCTCACTTTTTCTCGCCAGATTTTCTCTTAATACTAAGAGAAAGAGTGAGAAACCTATAGAAGAATGCCATCTCTGCTTAGGTTCACCTCCCAGTTATACTACGTGCACTGGGAAACTGGGCAAGTTGCTTAAACCTCAGTGTTTCAGATTCCTCCTTTACAAAGTGAAAGCGACATGTCTACTTCTCAAGGCATGCTTAAAGATTCCATGAACTGCATGCAAAACCACTTAGATGGAGCCAGAGAGGCTGTAACTAACCTTCCATGAAGCCAACCCAGATTGATCCCTCACACTGCCCAGCACTGCCAAGGGTGATTCCTGATCACAGAACCAGGAGTCAGTCCTGAGCATGGCCAGATGAAGCTCAGACCCTCAAAACAATTTTTATAGAAAAGAAAAAGCAAAACTACTTTTAGAGAATTTCCTAGATTAGAAGGTACAGGGCTAGAGTGATAGCACAGCAGGTATGGCGTTTGCCTTGGGTTCAATTCCTTCGTCCCTCTCGAAGGGCCCGGCAATCTGCGGAGAGTATCCCACCCGCAAAGCAGAGCCTGGCAAGCTCCTCCTGGCGTATTTGATATGCCAAAAAGTTATGTCTCACAATGGAGACGTTACTGGTGCCCGCTCGAGCAAATCAATGAACAAGGGGAGGACAGTGCTACAGTGCAAAAGGTATAAAGTACATAACAAATATTTGTTGTAACTACCACCCTCTCCGCTGGAGTGATAGCACAGTGGGGAGGGCATTTGCCTTGCATGCGGCCAACCCAGGTTGGATTTCTCAGCTCCTCCCAGAGATCCCGTCAAGCTACTGAGACTACCTCGCCTGCACAGCAAAGCCTGGCAAGCCACCCTTTGACGTATTGGATACGCAAAAAAAAACAGTAATAAGTCTCACAATTTGTTGTGAGACAGTACTGGTGCCTGCTCAAGCAAATCGATGAACAATGGGAGGACAGTGCTATAGTGCTACAATACTACCACCCTCTCTCTACACAAAATTTCTTCTTCAGATACAGGTTTTCAAGGGCTGGAGAGATAGCACAGCGGGTAGGGCGTTTGCCTTGCACCCGGAAGACCCGGGTTCGATTCCCAGCATCCCATATGGTCCCCCAAGCACCACCAGGAGTAATTCCTGAGTGCATGAGACAGGAATAAGTCTTGTGCAACGCTGGGTGTGACCCAAAACACACACACACACACACACACACACACACACACACAGATATAGTTGTTTAGAACCACGTCCAACGCATTTTACATGAAAACCCTTACGGTGTGTGTGTGTATGTGTGTGTGTGTGTCCACAGCCGGCGGTGCCCAGGTAAGGGGGGTGTGTGTGTGTGTCTGTGTGTGTCCACAGTAGTCGGTGCCCAGCACTTACTCCTGGCTCTGCGCTTGGGTATCACTCCTGGTGGGCTCCGGGGAACATATGAGATGCTGGATATTGAACCCGGGTGGGCCGCATGCAAGGCAATGCCCTACCTGCTATCCTACCGCTCACAAACCCTGCAACTTCATCCAGACCGGCTGTGGCACACCGCAGAGGGCAAAGGCGCCGCGGGGGGTCGAGGGTGGCTCTGGGGTGATCTTAGGGGACACCCAGAAGCCCCGGGAAGAAAGAATGGAGCGCTGCAGGTGGGAGGGGGCGCTTACTCCGGCCCATGACGTCTGCCGGGGTCCCCGACTCGGGAGGATGCCAGATCCTGGTCCAGGAGGATTCTCCTCACTCTTCTTGGTCTAGACGCGGCTCGGCCACGCGGCGATTTGGGAGCCATGGCAACCAGGACTCTACGGAGGCCGCGCAGGACCAGATGCCGCCGAGATTCCTGCAGGGCGGGACTCCGCGGTGACGGGTCGGGGTCGGGGTGAGGGTGGGGCGCGGCGGGAGAGCGGGGCAGCTCCCCAAAGGCCTCTGTGACTGTCCCTGGCCCAATACAGTCTCCTTCCACAAACTGCTTCCCTTTCCTCCATCAACTAGCCAGGCTAAAGAAGAACCACAAGACTTGGATCCTCCTGGGAACTGCCTGCGAGGCAAGACTCACACTGATGTGTACTTGTTTGAATTCTATTTAACACATTCCAGAGCCAAGAGATCTGGAACTGGTCCCCACTCTGTTTACAAGCTTTGTGACTTTAACCGTCCTTAGCTTCAGCTTCCGTCTCTATGAGTGATAATAGTAACAATCTCAAGAGTTGGTTGTAAAGTTATAATAAGATAATTTGTGTGAATGGGCAACAAAAACAAAACAACAACAAAAAATAACAGCAGCCTCACTATGTAAGGTAAAGGTAAAGGTAAAGGCCCTCCCGTTGATCGTCGATTTGCTCGAGCGGGCCCAGTAACGTCTCCATTGGAGACTTTGTTGTTACTGTGTCTGGCATATCGAATATTCTCGGTAGCTTGCCGGGCTCTCCGAGAGGGGCGGAGGAATCGAACTCGGGTCGGCCATGTTGGCCGCTTGTAAGGCGAACGCCCTACCCGCTGTGCTATCGCTCCAGCCCAACACTATGTAGGTTAGTTGTTTTATCAGAGTTCATCTTTTTTAAAGTCTCCAAATGAACAATTTCCCTGCTACAAAGTGTTGTCAAAACACATTCCCTTCATCCCCCACCATCCGTTTTTCTTGCTCACCACTTGAATTGTGGTGTACAGGTTTCTTGCCGCTAAAATTCCCACCACCAGTCCCCTGGTCTTCCCAGACTCCTTCCAAAGGGCCCTGTGGCCTTGATCCCAATTCTGAAGGAGGGAAAGTTAACAATAATCTTATTCATATGCAGTTAGTACTTTTATGCATTTTACCTTTCAAGAGTTGATGTCTGAGTTTCATTGTGGTATGCTTTTATTTTTTGCCACCTTCACCTGCTATCTCTCCTACCCTCCCTACCCTCCCTCCTTCCCTCCTTCTCTCTCTCTCTCTCTCTCTCTCTCTCTCTCTCTCTCTCTCTCTCTCTTCTAACAACCACCAATCTCATGTCTGTAGGAGTTCAGTTGGTGGTGGTGTTTTAGATTGCATATATTCCGTATATTTCATTTATCTTTGATTTAGCGGGTAGGGCATTTGCCTTTCATGGGGCCGACCCAGGTTTGATTCCTCCGCCCCTCTCATAGAGCCCAGCAAGCTACTGAGAGTATCCCGTCAGTACAGCAGAGCCTGGCAAGCTACCCATGATACATCCGATATGCCGAAAACAGTAACAAGTCTCATAATTTGTTGTGAGATGTTACTGGTGCCCACCGAGCAAATTGATGAACAATGGGAGGACAATGGACAGGCAGTGCAATATATGTACTCAGAATTTCTTCACATTCCTGAAAATGGTAGTTTTTCATTCTAATGACTGGATAACATTGTCTTGTTTACATATATATAACACACCTTCTATCTCCATTCATCTGATCATGATTAGGTTGGTGTATTTTTTATAATGTTATTAAGTTTGGATTTAGGAATCACAACCAGTGGTACTCAAGGCTTACTCCTGGTTCTGCACTCAGGAATTGATCACTTCTGGCATGCTTGGGGGAACATATGGAGTGCCGGGAATTGAACCTAGGTCAGTGAAAGCAAGTGTCCTAAACTATCACTCACTCCAGCTCTGATTAGATAGTTTTTGTAGTTTGCCTATTGTAAATAATGTTGAATATGGTGTAGCATATGTATTTCGAGATATTGATTTTGTAATTGATTTTTATATTGATCCTTCAGCTAACCACCCATATGTGTAATAGAGGAATCTTTGATACTTCTATTTTTAATGTTGTAAGTGCTGCCATGCTATTTTTATAGCATCTATACCAATTTATATTCCCACCAACAGTGCAAAAGCATTTTCTTTTCTCCACATTTTTGTCAACCAATTTGTTTTTAATTCTAATATGTCTGAGATAATATCTCAACTTGGCTTTCTTTTTGCATTTCCCTGATGATTAGTGAATGGAAACCCTTTTATATGCTGATTTGTGTAAACTCAAAAAGGGGGCACAGCCCAGCAGCGGTGGCTCTATCTCTCCCACTGCCCATGTTTCAGAGTCTCACGCGCCACTTCCCCCACCCTGGGGAGGTCGATGCCGATGGGCAGGCAGAGGAAGAAAAGGAGGGCCAGGCTGGTTGGTCTTGGTTGCAGTTTATTCCAATCCTCGCTCCATCCACACCAGTCTCTCTTCTCTGCCTCTGCACCCCCTTGCCCATTCTAAGTCTCATTATATCTCTCTGGATGAGGGATTGGGGTGACAATTACACATAGATGCGATCACAATCAATAGGGGTAGAATTCTTTCCCTCAGGGAAAGCCGCTCTTAGGACAGATCCTCTATCAGCAGGACGACCCATCCTAGAGCGGAATCCTATTGGTGTGTTTCTCTTCTCCTTGTCCGACAAGCATATAAGCATATATAATATAAATCATTTTGTATGGATACAGTAATAAATATCTTAAATTTATAGAATTGCCCTCCTAGGGCCATCTCGATCTCAGATTATAGTGCTCAGGCCAGATAGTCTTTCCCACCCCTAGCAGGATCCTAGTCTCGTTGTTACTTTTGGATCATGACAGCATTTGTCTGTGATCAAACTCTTAACGTGTAATTCCATCAACGGCCAAGACCCAGAGACTATAAAAACCAGCTCCCCAAACCGCGGCCGTGCGACATCTTATTATGACATCTTATTATCTCATTCCTACTTTGGACAAACTGGCAGGCTACCGAATGTAGCCTGCCCACAAGACAGAGTCTGGCAAACTCCCCGTGGCATACCCAATATGCCAAATACCAGTAACAATGATGGATCTCATTCTCCTAAAGAGCCTTGAATATAATCTCAGGGCTAGGATGAAGTAGACATTACTGGGGCCTGCTTGAGGCAATCGATGAATAACAGGATGGTTGTGATTCTTGAAACTCTTAACTTACAGTTAAGAATCGTGGTACTTTGACCTGGCCCATTTCGATGCCAGGGTAGCTCACCGCTTGCCCTGTGTCCATTCAGTCCCTTGTCGGGACCCTGCTTTTGGGGTGTTAGGAACTAAGGGCAACTGAGGCTTAAGTCAAGAAAGCAGATGCCTGGGAGTGAATAATATTCAAAGTCAATTAAATCCTAAGTTACAAAGCATAATGTTAATGGTCTTCCTGTACCCATACAAAAAGGGCATTGCTTTAAAGTAAACTGTTCATGAGGCATAAGGAGAGGAGAAAGGCAATATTTCACTCATACATATAAAATCATAGATTTCTGAGGAATCTAACCTTACAAGTTAACAGTCTGATTAGGGGAAAACTGATTAACTGGTTGGGGAGGAGAGCATAGGGAAGAATTTACAGATAAACACAATGGAATGGAAATGCCTCAGGAGCACTGTGATGGGTGTAACCAGATAAACCTAAGCTCCTTGTGGAGAAAGGACAAAGCAATGTCATCCTACACTGGTTGTTCATGTTTATATCTATTGGGGGGAATCCCCCCCAAGCAGCTCTCAGGGGGTTCAAGAGATACTCTCAGCAATATTGGTTAACCAGGCTGGACAGTTTAATGTTAGGACCCCAAGATATAGGGTAATGGGACACACCAGGGCGACTAAGGTGGTGCTAATGGCACCTTATGTCAATACTCGTCTGTGCTGGGGGTAAGGAAGGTGGTGGTAGTGTGGGGGGGTGGTAGTATGCACCCCTAATATCCATGCTATTTCTTGAGCCCCCTTTTGTAAATCTTTATCAGAGAAAATGTTTAGGTACATCCTTTTCCCATTTTAAAATCAGATTGGTTTTCCTCCTATTGAATTAAATTAGTTATTTATAGTAAGCCTTCATTAGAGATACACTGTTCCAATTCTGGAGCTTGCCTTTTTATTTTATTATGGCTTCCTTTGCTGTTCAGATACTTTTTAATTTGATGTAGTACCTTTTGTTTGGGCTGGAGCTATAGCACAGCGGATAGGGTGTCTGCCTTGCAGTTAGCCAACATGGCCCACCTGAGTTCGATTCCTCCGCCTCTCTCAGAGAGCCCAGCAAGCTACCGAGAGTATCTCGCCTGCACGGCAAAGCCTGGCAAGCTACCTGTGACATATTCTATATGCCAAACACAGTAACAAGTCTCACAATGTTACTGGGCCCGCTCGAGCAAATCAATGAACAACGGGAGGACAGTGACAGTGACCATTTTTTTATTATTGATTTTGTTGCCTTTTCTAGCAGTGACAAATTCAATTTGCCAAGATTAATGTCAAGGAGCTTAACCTCTACAACTTTTTACCAGAACTTTTATGATTATTTTAACACTATTATTATAAAAGTCACGGTCACGGTCCTCCCGTTGTTCATCAATTTGCTCGAGCAGGCCCAGTAACGTCTCCATCATGGGACTTGTTGTTACTGTGTTTGGCATATCGAATATGTCACGGGTAGCTTGCCAGGCTCTGCTGGGCGGGTGAGATACTCTCGGTAGCTTGTCGGGCTCTCCGAGAGGGGTGGAGGAATCAAACTCAAGTTGGCCGCTTGTATGGCAAATGCCCTACCGCTGTGTTGTACTCTATACCCTTTGTAAAAAAAATGCAATATGTAAATATTTTTCCTATCCCAGTTTTAGTTAATAGTAAGAGCTTGATTTATCATATCTTCTGATATATTTTTAATTTTAAAAGAAAATTTAGAGTATTATTGAGCAAAGAGAAAGTGTTCTTTCAGCAGATG